ATAAGTTTTATCGTCTTCAATAATACAGAAATTTTTTAGAAATAAAATTGTCATACAACTTTCTGCAGCGGGTTTTTGTACTTTTTTGTTGAGTTTCAGATCGGTTGAGCATTTTCTGTGCTTTGAAAAAATGAAAATCATGTTTATTTTGACGTTTACAACAAAACTATGAGAAAGTCCATAAATGTTTGCGCGCTCCCTTAGTGAAAGGCTTGGGTTAATCTTAAAACTGTTAACATGTTTTCTAACTAGTTTTTTATCTTTAAAACCCTTCTTTCTTTCCATCACCAGATTTACATTTGATCGATTTTGTTTGAAAAAAACGTTGGATTACACGACTAACGGTGTATGTATGTATTTGCAACGCTTTTGCTATCGAATTGTAGCTACTATTGGGATTTTCCAAATATTTGTGCATAACTTTTTCTCTTATGTCTTCTTCTTTTTTCATTTTTAAAACTAATTTTAAGTTAAATCAAATAACTAATGCATTTTTTTTGAAACCAAAACACGTTGTAAATAAAATAAAAAACAATTAAAAAGATTTTAATATAACCACTGAAAAATAATGACGTACTTATTCTTTCACATTTAATATTTTTAATAAGATATATTTAGATATGGTTTTATTAAACTTAGACATTCATAATTTTCTCCAAAAAAACAATCTTAGTATTTCAAAACAAAATATTACTAAATATACTATTAAAATATTATATATAAAAATATATATAATATTATATAATAAAAATATTACTAATACTACTATTGAAATTTATTTAGCCAAAATTTACTGAAAAAAATCAACGTCTGAAAAGACGTTGATTTTAGACATGCTGTACAACGATTTGTTTACTTGTACAAAAAAAGTGGAAATCTGCAAACTATACTGTTAAAAATTTTGAAAAGAAGTTTGTAAATTGGCTTAATGAATATTTAATTGTCAGAAACAACAACAATAAACCAACTGCAAGTAGACGTGGTCGAAAACCAATTGCATTTGATAATAGTTCTAATCAGGGGTGTGGAGTCGTAAAAAAAAAGTAACGACTCCGACTCCGACTCCAGTTGTTGAATTTTTTTGAGTACAACTCCGACTCCGACTCCAGTTGTTGAAATTTTTTGAACACAACTCCGACTCTGACACCATCTCCGACTCCGGCTCTAACTCCGAAGCAAAATATTTGAAAAATTCTTTAAATTCTTAAAAAAATATTACGCGATATATTAAAAATTTCTTATTTGACAAATTTAAGAAACGTTCTTAAAGGTTTAGAATGAACATAAGGTTATTTGATTGTTTTGGAAATGTACGTGTAATACCGGGAAATTTTACTATTGTAGTCGGAATCGCAAGTTTGTTTAGCGACTCCGACTCCGACTCCGCTAAAAAATTGTTATTGTAACTGTTTAATCAGCAAAAGTATTTTATGTATTTTTTACATGATTATATGAAAATTGCTATTGGAACTGTTTAATCAACAAAATAAAAGTATATATATAATAATAATAGTCCCATTGGATTTAACTGGATTTAACAACAGTAACAAAAAGGTGCCTATTTGAAGAAATCCAAAGTCGTTATCCACAGCCTATTGTAGATCTATATAGACATAAGATTCGCGAAAATTTCAGCCAAAAAACATTCAGAAAAGCAACAAATACTATTCTTATCATAGACTTCTAGTTTCCAGTGATCCTGTTATTTCATCACTGCGTAAATCAACATTACACCGAACAAATCATAAAACATTTCCTTCAGATGTTTTACAATTACTTAAACAATCTTTAAACGATGTTATTGTTTTATAATTTTTTGATGTAATTTAAAATTGACAATACTTTCTTAATAAAACTTTATTAACTTAAAAAATCAATTGTTATTCAATATAGGTGGGTTAAAAATCCGATAGAATATTCAAACATTAACTTATACCTTTGTAACTAAGGAAAGTATCTGATAACTAAGCAATATAAGTATCCATAGCAACTAAATTAAAAATTTATCACTTTTATAATGTGTGATATCATATTGGTACTCATGCCAAATTTAGGGAATATAGCACTCATAAAATATCTACAGATAACAAAAATAATTATGAATTTTGTCCAGTAAAAGTGAATTCTGTGAATTACAAATATAACAAACCACATTTAGAGAATTAAAGCAACATATTATATTGCTTTGTTCACCAAATTTACAAAATTTGAATAGATTGAAATTGCTATGCAATATACCCAGTGGGTACCATACCTAAAAAAGACGTCTTTTGAACGTTCAAAAGACTTCCAAAACGTTCAAAAAACGTTTAAAAGACGTCTTTTTTACGTCCGTGCTCACTGGGTAGAACAAATTGCTGTAGTTGATGTACACACATACATAGTGACTAATTAAGGAAGAGTGAGGTAATGGGCGTCAGGCGGTCAGAACATTAAAGATTCTAACTTTTTTTCACATTTAATTTTATCATGTTTAAGTAAAAAAAACTCCATTATTATTACTAGTTTGCAATTGAGAAATATTTTAGAGCAAAGGAAAGATAAAAAGGAACAAGAAGTAAAAAATACTTCTTCCAACATTTTATATGGGATTTTTGCACTTAATTATTATAATCAACATTTTATTTGTTATTACGCAACAGTGATTGTGATTACTCACGATGTGATCAGAATTACCCCACGTACGTAGATTAATTAGGAACATCAATGGTTTTACTTTTGCGCTCAACTTTGTTTTACATAATAAGATTTATAAAAATTCCTTTTTAAGGGTTTATGTCTGAATACTTAGACTCGTTGATAAGCAATAAATATGATCAGTTTCGTATAACTGGTGTCTTTAATTCGTATTCCCATTTAGTTCTTAGTCAATATCCCACTCTCGTCTAGCCACACAGATTTGGTCATACCATACCTAAATGTATGAACTTTAACTCACACACAGATGTAAATAATTATTGGCTTGGACATAAACCTAACATATTAGATATGTTTAATGACTTTAAAACTTGACCTAATAGGTGAAAACAAAGGTTAATTTTTAATTCAGGAGACCGATTCGATAAAGGTATGATGTTTTTTTCTTAATACATAAAGAAGACTTGTTTTCACTTTATAAAGTTATAAAAAATAATATAATGCAATACACGCTGTCAGAAACGTTTAAGAATATTTGTAATTTATGCCACGCGATGACGTTTTTTTACGGTATTTTGAATGGGTTTTTCTTACGGCAATTATTTTGGTATCTAGGGAATACTTAATTTACGTATTTTATTTACGGATAGTTGCCAGTTTTGTTGATTTATATTAAAATACATAAAGCGTAAAAAGTGATATGCCTTAGTCAGTTGAACGAAACAAACAGGATATTAAATTCACGACACATGGCATATCCGGCCGGATTATCTCAAAATCTCTTTTACGGATAAAAAAATAATCCGGTATCCGATAATTAAAACCGTTACACATACTTTTACGTGTCTCTAAATTGCGCAATTTTTATAAGTTTTTATTTTAGTCTTAAAATCAACACATTACAATTAGCTTAAACAAACATCAATGAAAAAAACACTGTTCTTTGACAAATATTTTTTGCTTTTGCATTTATATTTTCATTTATTGCAACAAATATTTTTGCATATACTATCAATGCCTATTGTTTCATACACATACAACATGTTGTTTCATACACATATGACTGTTATTTTATTCTCAAGTATGTTATGTATAATTAAACTTTTATTAGCTTAATAAGCTTAATCACTTTCTTAGTAACACCAAATATATTATTAAATTACAATCTTGGTTGGCATCAAGTTTTTTTTTTTAAAAAGTAAAGTTTTTCTTGACCTTTTTAAACACGCTCTGATCGTAAGTTTTTTTTCTAACGCTCTTTTATAACTGAGACTGTTTTAATTTTGAAAACTTCCTTAAAAACGTAAACTAATTCTCAAAAACTCAGTAATATTATATTTGAATAGATTTGATTAAATTAGTTTTATAATTTATTAGTTAAATTAGTTCGATTAAGTTTTACTATTCTTACTAAACTTCTTCAAAAAACCTATTAAAAAGCTTGATTAAAAACAAACTCAGCACAGCTTATTTTTATATTTAAAAACTTCCGCTTAACTACACATGTTTAGTAACTTCCTAAAAACAAATTTTTATGTTAAATGACGTAAAAGACGTAATTTAAAGCAACTGCTTTTAATGACGTATTTTCAAAATTTTTTCGTTGTCAAACTTTGCGCCATTATGCGCGTTCTCTTGTGAAGTTCTAGCTTTTTTCTTAAATAACTTACTTTTAATTTAAAGTAAGTTATGTGAAGTTCTTTTTTTTTTTTTTTTATAGAAAGATTTTCTTTCCAAAAATATTTCAAGAGCATTGTTTTTTGTTTATTTTTCTTCTTTAAATAGAAAAGTCAATTTGACCCCCACCACACCGCTGCTGTTAAAATTTCCGTAAATGTTTAAGGTAATAAAATAGTTCATATTTTTACAAGAACGTTAACAAGCTTTTTTTTTTTTTTTTTTTTTCTATTCTCATGTAAATAATCTTAAAATTCCATTTTTTATGCATAGCGATTAAAAACATAATCCGAACAATTATTTACTAGAAAATTGTACGTTACATAATGAACGTTTCTATACGTTACATATATTAGTTTATCAAAAGTTTTGTAACGTGCTGTTTAAAACAATAACGAAAAAATACATAATTAAAATTAAAATGTGAGGATTTTTTTTATCGTTTAAATAAATTAGAAACAAGTTAGGTTACATAAAAAATACCCCACAGCTAGATTAATATGTATAAAAAATAAAAACAAGTTAAAGCTTTATAATGGTAATAATATTAATGATAATAGTTATATGCATATATATATATATATATATATATATATATATATATATATATATATATATATATATATATATATATATATACATTTAAAAAAAAAATTTGTTTGACAATAAATGTTGAAACTTCTTACCGCCATTTTTAATGAGCCATTCTACCATTTCATAGTGGTTTACAGCCGCAGCTAGATGTAAAGGAGTTCTGCCGTACTTGTCTTCTTTGTTGATTTCGGCACCTTTTTCTTTAACAAAAATTGCCGATATTATATTCCACCCCCTCGCAATCTCATGCATTGCGCATTGACCATGTTTATCTGAAAAATTTATATCCGCACCTCCTCTTAATAGAGATTCGACAAAATCTATATCAATAGAGTTATCTTCGTTAGAATGACCCAACTTAGAAAAATACATCAGTAAACCTTTGCAACCTGCTTTAGAAAGGCTGTTGTTTGTTTCATCAAACTCGATATCATCCATGTCACTATCTAAGCTGCCTGGAGAAGAGGCTTCAGTTTTAGTTGACAAAATGCTGTCATTTACAGGTGCTGGACCAATACGATAACTAGCAGTTTTATCTTTTATTTCTCGTCTTTTGGCACTACCTTTGCTCTGGAGAGACGACACAAATTTATTTTCTGTCATTTTTCCTTTCTCTCTCTGTCAAAAAGTAATGAAAAATGTATACTCTAAAACATTTTCTCTAAGCATTTAGAAATCTAATGATAATCTTTACACTGTTAATAAAAATAACACGGTTTCCGTTGCATAACTTGCTTCAAGTTAAAATTAAGTTAATAATAATAGTTTTCGATATTGACAAATGTTTTTTACAGAACGTAACTAAAAACAAAACATAACCCAAAAGTTTGAAAAAGCTTAAACCATCAAAAATCTTTGTTATTTATTATAATTTAATATAGTCACATTTAGTTGCAATATAAAAAGTTATTTGATTTTCCTTTGAACTAACTTTAGTTCGATTTGTATAGTTAATATTTTAAATAGTAAATATACTTTTCATGTTTTGAAAAAGTTTAAACTTCATTATAAGCAAAATACTTTAACTAATCTGAAAATACTCGTCTTATATGACGGATAAAATTCTTTTCATTGATGAAAATGTTGAACAATGAATATAGCCGTTTCGAATTACCCTTATAATAAGATAGATCAAAAAACCATTAAGAGTTTAACATTTACATTAAGTTTAACTTTGTAATTAACAAAGTTAGTTTTTTTTTTTTTATACAACAATTTTAGGTGATACTAATTTATTACTAATTTATACTTGCATAAATATATTAATTTGTTAAAAATATATAAAAGTATAAATTAGTATCATAATTATACTAATATATATCTTTGAGATTTCTTCTTGGAGCTCCAAATTAAACTAGGAAAACAATAAACAGAGCAGACAAGTCTTAAAGGTCTTTTGATTAGGAAGAGTGATCTTTTTAAATGACCGATTACTTTGGATTTTAAATAAAGTAGTATTTTCAAAATTAAAAATATTTGTTTGCGTATAAATACGCGAGTATTTAAAAATTACATTTTGATACTAGAATACTGTATATATGTTTATGAGATTGCAAATTACATGTTAATTTGTTTATTTGCTTGATTCGCAGTTACATCAGTTAAAATAAAATTTGCAGTTATATCAATTAAGTCTTTTGAAAATATTTGTAAAAACAAATTTAGGAGCTACACTGAAAAAACAAGTAACAAAATGTGCCAATATAATAAATGCAATTTTAAAAATAACAAACATGCGTTTGAACGGGCACTTAGATCAGGTAAAAATAAATAAAAAACAACATTATTTCAATTAAGAAAAATGAAGAGCCTAAAAAAAAAAATTATGAAAGACAAAAAACAGGTCGTGGAGAAATAACCTAAGGATGTAAAATCAACAATGTAAAAACAAAATCAAAAAATAAAAACCTAGAATGAGAGTGATAAGCACCTTGTTTTAAAAACAACAAAAACTGCGCGTGAAAATGGGAAAGTCTTTCTGAGAAATTTGTGTACATATCTTGCGATAAACTTGATGATACAATCAGAGAGATATAAGAGCCCGTAATCAATTCACGGAATGGAATGCAAAAATAAGTAATTTATATTCATAATATTTTTTACATGCATAAGTTTTCTGGCATTTATATATGATATATTACGAATGAAAGAAATAAGTTCTTAAGATAAAACAAAATAGCAATAATAATAATAATTTAAATAGTCGCTATAGCGACTAGCGACTAGCGCTATAGCGAGGGTTTAGTATATATTAAACCCTTTAAATGAATGAATTCGAATATCGACTGATGGTAGCAGTGGTTTTAAAAATATTCCATATAATGTCTATAAATCAAATAATTTAAACACACTTGAAGAGCATGAACCTAAAGACAAGTTTTTAATAACATTTCATTAAAAATGAATCTTTTGAGTACTTATATTTTCTTTATAAAAATAAGAAGCGCTAATGTCAGGGGCGGTTCCAGACCTTCTTGTGAACTGGGAGAGGGTAATTAGTTTTTTAGTTTCATTTTTTAAAAATATTAGTTTTTCACTGTTCTCATCTATGTTACTATGAAATAACGTTATATACCAAAACCCCATCAGTCTAATATTTTTTTTTTTGCACCACGCAAACCATAAAAATTGGTTTCAAAACATCTGAGGTGGAGGGGGAAGGGCGCGATTGCCCTTCTTCTTCTCCCATGGATCCGCACTTGGCTCCCTTTAACCAAAATTATTGGTTTAATATACCTTAATATGACGAAATTCGCTGACAATAAAATTCTATAAAAAGAAGCGGGAATCGTTTTATTTAAGTCATAACTGTTTGCGTTTTAAAAAAACTATGCAAATCTAAATTCAACGAAAAAATCTTTTTGATTAAAAAATTTAAAATAAGTCCAAAAATATCTTTGTAAAGTGTTACTATAAAACGCGAAATATATCTTCAGAAAAATTCTCAAATTGCATTCAGTAAATTAATTTAAAGGTATCTTTAGAAAAAAGATGCTGATTCAATAGGAGACTTTACTATTAACGCGCTAAAATATGATAATGTTATAGAAACTCAAAATTTGAGTTTCTATAACATTATCATAATTTATGATAATGTTATAGAAACTTAGATAGCATTAAAGTTCAAAAACGTTAATAAAAAATATATTTACGAAATATATTGTCAATTAATGTTTCTGAATTTTTTTTTAGTAAATATTGTTTACTAACGCTTTATTTGATGTCTCACTAAAAAAGGGAAAGTTAAATCTTTAGATCATATTTCAAATTATTATATCACAAATAGGTCCATATATATATATATATATATATATATATATATATATATATATATATATATATATATATATATATATATATATATATATATATATATATATATATATATATATATATATATATATATATACCTATTTGTGTCCAATTTTGATCGGTATTTTGTGGACCAATAAGCATAAACAAGACCTCAAAGTTACATTAAACTAATGGCTGATCATTAAACAATCAAATGCTAAATATATATATATATATATATATATATATATATATATATATCTATATATATATATATATATATATATATATATATATATATATATATATATATATATATATATATATATATATATATATATATACACCCACAGAATCTCTAAAATATATCAAAAGATTCCAAAAGAAATCAGTGGAAACTTGTTTTTTTGACGAATTTGTCTTATTTTTCAATTTAAAGTAAGTTATTTGATAGAAAAAGGAGTTTTGTCGTAAAAAACATAGGTTCCTTTGATTCAATCAGGTTTATTTTACCATATTCTTTAACAAACCCACAGAATTTCTAAAAATATATCAAAAGATTCCAAAAGAAATCAGTGGAAACCTGTTTTTTTGACGCATATATATATATATATATATATATATATATATATATATATATATATATATATATATATATATATATATATATATATATATATATATATATATATATATATTTTAAAAAGATCAAAAAAGATTGTCAAAGCAAAAAGATCTTTAAATCAATACAAATTATATATACAAATGTCTTTTAATTTTAAATTTAGTTATTAAAGTGCTCTAAGATTGTTTTTACGTCTTTTCACGAGCACTGTTGCCAACGCTGCCGACACTTGGCACTTATTTAAATAAGCGTCAGCATCGTTAGCAAAAAATTTAATATTTTTTAGTTGATGTGATATTTGGTAGTATGCAATTGCGTAATTAAATTAAATTTGTATTTTACTACCTCCTCCCAACAATTCCTACCATAACTATTTGTCGAAATTTCCTTTGAAATCAAATTGCGATTTAAAATCAGATCGGGTGATTTTAAAGGAAGGTTTTATCGAGGGGTCTATAGAGTATTTTATTTAATAAACAACAGCTTTTCTAAAAATGAAAGATAAATTAAAAGATGAAAGTTTTAAATATTAATTTATTTCTATCATATTTGAAGTTAGTTCTCTCTTTTTTTTTAAATAATGTTGTTAAACTAATGTTAACGTTTCTTAAATTTATGTTAAAGTTAACTCAGTAGCGAATTAAGAGGTTTGGGGCCCGGGGCTGTATTAAACAGGAAGCCTTTTACATGTCATTAATCAAATGTACGAAAACTTTTTTTCAAAAATGTATCAACTGTAAAAAAAATAATTTAAGAAAAATATGGCTATCACCTAAATCTTTATTTTACCTTTTTATTTTATTAAATGCATATAACGTCAATTGTAATAAAAAAAATTATCCTAATACTTTAGATGCTTAAAACAGACCGATTGAGGCAGCCAATAACATCAGTTAATTATTTTATATATTAAATAAATTTTATTAATTAAATTTTATTTGAGATCAATAGATAGGTAATCCTTTATTTAAGCGGTGTGAATTAAAATTATTTATTTGCTTTTTTTCTGCTTGTCACAATTACGTCTGAAGCAACGCATCTTTCCACAAATAAAAAAAAAAAAAAAAATAGACTTGGCAAGGTCAAAGTTTAGGGTAATGAAGATCATGGTTAGGGTTATGGCTAGTTCAAGTAGGGTTAAAGCAAGAGTAAGGTTGTTCTTACTCGATAACTAACCCTAAACCTTAACCCTCAAATGAAAGATTTATTAAATTATGTATCAACCCATGTTTAGACGTGTTTTGTGACAAGCGCAAAAATACAAATAATTATTTTTAAACCGCTTAACTGAAATATTAGCCAATTGATACATGCAAATGCAAATAGTAAATACAAATATTTACATTACTTTGTAAAGTCCAGCTTTATCGCAATATTTGAACACCTTTTTTTCTCACATTATTGTTTTATTTTATCTTATACGTCATAAAAACTCATTTTTTAATATTTCATTTATGATATTTATGATAATTATTGAACTAATGATTAAACATTAAGATTTTATTACGACATGTTGTACCTGTATTGCAGCTTTGTAGCTTTCAAAATTACTACGATATATCCATAGCTAGACATTGTTGTATTGATAGCAACAACATCAAGACAAATCCGTAGCTAGTTGGTGGTTACATATCGCAACTTTTTAGCAAATGATATTATTATGATATATTGATAGCTAAAGTTTGTAGATAGTAAGCTAGCTATTCCATATTTGTATTTTTTAGAACTGTCGTTAGTGAGATAATTTTACAGCTATTACCCAGCCGGCATTTAATCCTAAAAAGACAACTTTGAAAATTTTTTATTTTGACCAAATGCCGGCTGAGTAGTTGGCTATAACTGCCTATTGCTATAGCGGTATGTATGCATATCAAGACCTTTTAGTTTGCCATTTTAAAACATTGTTGATAGCTACATTTAACTTTTAAGTTTTTAAGCATTGTATAAAAAATGGATTCAAATACAAAGACAAAATTTACTCTAAAATAAAGTTTATTATTAAAAAGCAAGCTGGCAAATATGCATAACCGTGAAGTTTTCTTTTTAAATTAGGAGGCGTCTATAAAGTACGTATG